CTTGGCAAGATCTTTTTCCAGTGTGGTTTGCTATTGCCTCCTTCTTAGGGCTAAGTGAGCCCAAGGTCACCCAGCTGGCTCTGAGACTGAGGAGGAACTAGAATGCACAGTCTCCTGGTTTCTAGCCACATGCCTTAACTACTACACCAAACTAGAGGAATGGGAACAAGATTCACAGAATAATTGACATTCACTTTATAGGAAAAAAACAACTGAGAAGTTTGTTCCCTGCCTGCCTTAGCAAAGAAAAAAAATGCTTCTTTCTTTGATCAGAGGAAGACAAAGGGAAGTAACCTGGCTCTTTTAGGGAAGAAAAATGCAGGGAGCAATCATTCTATGACATCTCCTGAGCTTCTACCTCTATGGAAGGGACAGGAAAAGATTATTTCCTTCCTGCTCTTCCAAAAAGAAAGATGCTTCTTCTTGGGAAAGGTGAGATTTCTCTTCTCTGACGTCTTACTCTCTGTGTTCTCTTTCATGTATACAGTATATTGCATGACTTCTTTTCATGAATCTTCAATATACACAAATGGTTGAAACAAATAAAAGCATTATTTTAGTCTAGGAATTTATATTTCATATTATTCAACTTTTGTACATTATTCTGAGACTTTATATGCAGGGTAAAATGGATCATAGACAGAAATAAAACACAGCTAATCCTCGACTTATGACAGCATTTCTGTTACTAAATGAAGAAGTGAAGGAGAGTGAAAAAAATATTCTATGGATAATAACAGTCCACAAAATATTCTTAAAGATGGAGAGGAAAAAATCCATTTCTCCATAAAATGTAACTTTTTCCTTAAGAGATAAAGACAACGGAAAATCTGTCATTGACTAACTTAAAATTGAATGAGATCCATAAATATATAGCATTTATGTGTCTTAAATCCAAGGCTGGTTGACAAAGTGGGCAAAATTGCAAAGTATAGGCATAAACAATTAGATTATTGCAGGATCCAATCTGGGTTGGTCAAATGCCTTCATTAATAATTAGATTATTTCTTTACGCATCAGCATGGTCAAAATTTGAACAAAGGAATGTAAATAATGGCATAAACTCATACATGGAAGAATTGTAAAAGTTGTTCATCATGATTTCTGATGCAATGACAACTGGAGAAAAGACAGATAAATTATATAGTTGATATGAGAAATCTTGAGCCTAAGTTATGTTTTACTTTTCAGGGAAAGGCTATGTTAGGGATACCACTGAATTCTTTACTTGGCCTCCTACTTCAGTTGATACAAACATGCAACACAGTGAGAAGATCAAATTACTTTAGCATCTATCTGTACCCAGTCTACCTTTTCTAAAATGTAGCACTACACCATATAATTTGTACTATTTTAACTGCCCCCCCCCCATATATAAACATGTCTGCACAGGAGTGGGTTATCTGCAACTGACTCCTTCAGGATGTTTCTCAACTTTTCAATCTAGCCTTGATGCCCTGTTACTCAAACCTCAGAGGTACTGAACAAATAAATAGAAAAATATATATACCTAAAATTGTCAAAGGGAAAGGCATTATGACACTATTTTAATCATTTGCAATAATATTACAGTAGCACTGGGGGTTTCTCTGAATAGAAATATGCCACAATTTCTGCAAAATTTTAACATATCAAAATGCAGAAATAAAGAACAGTTATGTAATACTATCAGTGAAAAGCATGTCACCCAATATTTAAATAGAAAATAATAATACGCACAATATACCATCATTAGCTTTTCTTTTTAACTTTTATATATATTCCTTTGGAATGACGAGAAACAAGTATTCAATACATAACGTATGTTCCATATACTTTCCTGTCAGAAAGATTCGTCAGAATAAATAGCATGTCATATACTTAATTGAAAAATAAAAAAAAAATATTTTAAATGTTTGAGGAACTTATCTAATCAGTAAATTTTGGGAATATGTCTAGTCATGTAGCCATCTTTTATTCAATCATCAGAAAATCAAAGGCAAATTGGCATGACTCAACCCAAACTTTAATACCGCATGATTATGTTGTATAAGCTTGTTTTGTGTGATGGCTGCTGTGGTTTTTACAGAGAGATTAACAACCGGACCTAAGCTGGCCTTCAAACCTTGCCCTGCTGATGCCTCAAGCTCTTTGAAGTCTGACCATCCTACCTGGCAAAACAACAGTGGGAACTAGGCTGGTGTCAGATCTAATCTAGCTGCTTTTTTCAGCATAGCTAACGATGGGGTACACTAATTGGCCCAATTGCGGATTATACCTTTTGCTACAGATTCAAGACAATAATTTAGTCAAATGATGGTCTTTATCTCCTTCTAATTAAGATTCCAAAGTAGGAAGAAATAGGATTAGACAACGTAACTTCAAAACTATGAGCTTTTTTGAAAAGACAGGCACTTAAGAGGTTCTCTAAAAGTTTAAAACATGCAATGAAAAAGCAGGTAATGAAATGTTAGGTAAATGTTTCACTATACACAGTTACTGTTGTAAAGATAATCAATAGCTTATATAAATTATAACAAATAAATATTGATGTATTAGTGTTTAATGTTCAAGCTCTATATGTTGCTCAAAATATATACGTTATAGATGAATATCAAAAGTACTTTTTAAGTTAGATTTTTTAATGTATTTAACTCATGTATTTAACATATAAAATATTAGTTAGAAAAGAAAAATCTGTTAATAACCAGTGCTAATGCTCCAATGAAAAGGAATTGTGAAGGAATTCCCCTTGCAAAACTGGGTTTATTTGTAAGAAACACATTGTAAAACTACAGAAAATCAACAGACATGTGATAAAAATATAGATGAAATTGTTCTGATTTCAAATTATGAATTCCTTTATCTCTAATTTCTCTAATATTGTTTTGAAATATATATATATATATATATACACATACACATGCATACACATACACATACATACACATAAGGGTGTAACAAAATGACAATATCAATATATTGGACATTCTTTTTGAAAACTGTTACTCCTACACTGAAGATTTGTTTGAAGAACGTTTTATGTAACTTTTTATACTCTTTCAATGTGTTAGGCACCTATTTAAAAAGTCTGCCTTGAGATATATAATTCATTCAGTTTCATACTTATCTATTTTTAAAATGATTTTAATTTTTCCTGTTTTCATTATTAACTTTAATAGTAACCTGATCAACTGTTTTGTCAGTGCATATTTTCCTTTGCTTAAGTTTCTTCAAAATGGTACTATAATTTAAAAGCAAAAGCAGAAGTTTAGCAGAATAGGGCAAGATGGTAAATGCAAAGAAACTGATGAGTTAGGAAGCAATATTTTTCTCTTTTTAGACAGGAAGCAATTTGTAAAGAACAGAGTCTTTATCAGGGTGGACTGAAATTATTCTTAAAAAAATCATGTGTGTTTCGGTAGTTCTTTTTCCTTAAAAGAAATCAAATTACTTTTCATCCCTTTTGGCTACTTTATTTTTATTATTGCGAGCTATTTCATTTGAAAATTATAATAACAGGAAATAGTATAGAGATTTTGCTAACAGAGTTAATGTTCTGAACTGTCTATATTGTAAGGGGATTTACCCCCTCCCAGCTCAAAGTACAATAAATGGGAATTTAATATAGCAGGAACATATTGTCTGTTTTCTGTGTCAATGAAAATAATTCACCTTTTCTGAATTTTAAAATCTTGCATGAATACTAAACTCCTTTATTCAACTGATTCAAAAGAAGAATAGCTTTTCTTGATGCAGTGAAATAATGTTAAAATGGATTGTACTAATACAGTGCTTTATGTCATTAGATGTATTCTTTTCTAAAAACTCAAAATTACAGAGAGGGAGCACAAATTCTTTAAAGAAAAACATTTGTCTTCAAGTAGCTTTTGAAGCCAACATTTCTTCAAGTTGAGAAACTTGAAATACTGATGCAGAGATATCCTAGTAGAAAACCTGGCTCCTTGATTAACTATTAACTGCTTTCAATAGGACTAGATGATTAAGGACATTGATTACCATTATTAGGAGGAGGGCACTTTAATTTGTCACTTGATGGGCTCCTTTCAACAATTTATAGGTTATTGCAACAGGCAATTGTGAAGAGACAGTGAGAGAGATGTGGAGGAGGGGCACTGGAAGAGAATCCTTAGGTTACCTTATCAAGTGGCTAGCTAAAGAGGGCAGAGGGTCAAATAAGGGCCAAAGTGGTCACTTAAGGGTGAAATCCCAAACACCAAAGCAGTGCCAAGCCACATTGACCATCATTTGGTGATGAAGTTAAAAATATGCTAATATATTGGTGGCAATTCTTCCTTTTATGGGTTCAAGCAGTTAAGGCAAGTGGCCTGCTTAACAGCTTTTCACTTGAAAGAGATTAAACTAAATGATTTGTCAGGGCTGCTTAACTGTTTTATGTCTTTGTCTAAAACCTGCAAACACTGTACTGGTGAGGATTCCTTCACTCCCAAAGCAACTTTTGTTTTCAGCCTCTGGATCTACTTGGTTAATAAATACATCAACCCTAATTGATGTCTGCCTAATAGTGGTCTGCTCTTTAGCAAGACTAAAATGAAATAATCTTTTGCATTATTGCTTTCTGTGTAGACTGTCTGCATGGAAGGTCAGGGGGGAAAAGTTTAAATTTGGTAGAAAATTTACTTAAGAACATTAATGTAAATGATCCTATATTTAAAATGACATGTAAGAGTTAAAGGTGATTCCAGTAATGCAAAGGAAATTGTTTCTGAATAATGAGAAAGACATTTATCCCTCATGCCATGCTCAATTTTAGGCAGTATTGCACATTAACATCCTAACTGGAGTAATAGCATCTAGGCACTTTCCCACTTAACAACACAGCTAAGAGCAAATCATTAACATTTAATTAAATATGCTTCTGACATCTTTAGAAATATGTATGTCATACTTTGTTACTGCAGGTTGTGGCCTACTTTTTAAACATTCATGTTTAAACATTTAATACATTCCATCTTTCAAATAGTATTCCATAGTCTTACCTCAATAACAAACAGCTTCCTTTTCAATTTAAAAGCCAGGTCCTTTGTGTTTGATACATCACAGATCAAGCTATTAAGTCGAGGAATCTGGTGTATGTGAACCAAACCTTTTGAAAAGGAAAATATTAAGAAAATAATGCTATCCAAATGCCTGAATTAAAGTCTTATATCAAAAAAATCCAGTATATTTACACACACTCGTCCTCCCCCTCTTAAACTGGAGCTTACGACCAGGAGCAATGAAGCAAGCGATACGATTATACAAAAGTAATCAAGCAGAATAAAATAAACAGAAATCCTTGTGTGAGGAAAACTAATTGCACTTTGGTACAAAGGTACAGATGTAAAGAGGGATCTTAATACTTGTCAAAACTACAGCCGGTTTGTGTGTGATTTTCTCTTGTATTTACAGTAAGCAAATATGGCTATCACCTTGCATGCTGCCCACGGCACCACTGAGTGATCTTTATTTTATTAAATGCACCAGTAAGCAGCCAGCAAAGCAAAGCTCATAGGTTACTGATAACCACTGAAGCTGTAATGAAAAGTATTTTGTTTTGTACCATGATAACTATTTTTTTAAACTTGTGTGAAAACCAGAATAGTGAAACATGCTGTTGGATAAATTTTAATCACGTTATAAATACAATGCACATTATTTTCTGCAAGCAAGACATCCGTTGAGTATGTTGGAATTTTATAACAATACTAGGCACACTGCAAGCTCTGCATTCTGTCAGTTGAATCTCAAGCTGATTTCTTTTGACAAGGACGCTGTACGGATTCTAGGAAGCTTAATAAAGACTTTCAATAACTGGTCTTTTTCCACAACAGAATTTGAGAAATATTTTAAGAGAGACAACAGTAACGCTTGTGTTATATCTTATTTTTAAAGAATAAATATTAAATATATGCAATTCAAATGGTGTTTTATCAAATAGTTCGAGATTAAAACGGACAATCTTTCCAACCATGAAAACTCTTTAAAGTTACACTAAGTTTCAATGTTTTAGAGAGAAATTAATAAATATACCTTAATATAAAAAGGCAGAACACCATTGAACAAATATTACATAGTTTCAAAATAATATGGAAAATGCAATAATTTGTATTTTTCTTAACTGTAAGAAAACTGCTTTTGTGCAAATATAATGCAAAATTAATATATAGGTTTAAATATATGTGGCTTGATTTGGTATGTACTATGTCTTAAGACAAAATAAAACTAATAGTCCATTGTTTTCACTTGAATGACCATTATAACTGGACTGGGCCTATTACTTGAAAGTAGGTCATAATTACTTCAATAAAACTAACAGTCCCCATATAAATGTAGCCTTGTATATTTGAACACCACTAGCATGAAGCTAGGTCACTCACTGGTATTTTCTGGGTAACTGTGACTCTCATAACAAATTACATTTCAGCTTTAAAAAATGCTTACACTTTAGATTGGGAGATAATGGAGGCAAAGCATAGAAAGAAAACATTTGCAAAATATATAATTGTCTTATTTATGCATTTAAAACTTTTCTTCAGGATAATAATTACTACCCTGTTTTCCCAAAATAAGACATCCCCCGATAATAAGCCCAATCGGGCTTTTGACTGCATGGCAATAAGGCCAAGCGCTTATTTCAAGGTTCAAAAAAATATAAGACAGGATCTTATTTCAGGGAAACACAGAATAATATATTTAGCAATGGTAAGTGAGAAGCACAGATATGATTAACACAATAACATAAAATATATTCTTCAGTGTCATAAACTTCCAATATTCCTATTTACTAAAGATTATCTGTGTTCTCCATTACTTCTCACCAATGAATCAATATCCATATTTTAGTTTTCAAGAAATCAGGATTTGCTTGTTGTTGAACTTGCTTAGTATGTTATTAAATATACTTAACTTTACGTGGAAAAATTGTATTACAATTTTTGTAATGCAATTGACTAACAAACTGTATTTCAGAATAGAGATTACAGTAATACAATTGACTAATAAACTGTATTTCAGAAATAAATATTATAAATATTTTTAGATGAGGGCTATATATTCTTGAAGGACTTGCTCAGTGTGTATAGGGTAGGTACACTAAGACAGAAACTGGCTCTGAAACTCTTCAGAAGTTTTTCAATTTTGTTCAGTAAAATGCTGGAGGCATAAGCATCTTATCACACTGTTCAAAATTGTACAAGGTAAATGGATAAGCTATACATGCAAAATAATAATAATAACAACTACTACTACCACTACTACTACTACTACTACTACTACTACTATTACTTTATTGTCATTATACAGGTATACACAGTATACCCATACAACGAAATTCACTTAACACCCAAAGACCAGGTCCAACACACATAACAATCCCCAAACACCCCCCCACCCATCACAAATTCCCCACCCCTAAATTACTCAAACATCCACACAACAGATCAAGTAATGCTGTCCAACAGCTCACTGATAGTGGCCCTTTAGTTCATTGTTGAGTGCAATTATAGCTCTGGGATGAAAACTATTCAGAAAACAAGTACAAATCAATAGTTAAATGTTCCATCTTTATGAGAGTAGTAAGAAATACAAATGTATTTTTAATTGGGGACAGAATTATTCAAATATTTAAAATGAACATTTTAGAAAAATATATAGAAAAATAGCACTGTTAACAAAAAAGACAATTTTAGAGAAAACTATAAAAATATAAAGATATAGATTTGCTTATATATTTTACAGAATATTAAATATGAAGCACCATAGATCTTGACAAGTGAAAAATGTCTTTTTAGTGGTTTATTTATTTTGTATCTTATTTAAGGGATTGAATTTCAAAAGGTTATCTTTCTCTATATGACAAAGTAGAATCTATGCTGAAGTAAACGATGGTCAGCTATACATTCAAATGGATTTTCTCATGTAATGTATAATTAATTACATCCCTGCTTTCTTACAATATTTACTGAGGGTTCAGATTTGAATCTAAACCTTTTGATCAGACATTTCCATAAAACGAATTTCAATGCCTAAATGTCAATTACAAGGGCTAACTCTCAAAACAGATCTGAAAAACAGCAACTGTGGTATGATGTAATGATGCAATTTCCCTCAAACTTATTAGAAGCAATAAAAAGTTATAAAAAACAGAATAATTTAAATAGGGAGAATGATTATCAGCTGCCATCTACATGACAGTTACTGATTAGTTGGGGACATTCTGCTCCTCTGAACATAGGCAGTATATAAGCACTTAACATCTGTTGCCGAGTTCAGTTTCAAATCTAAAAGAAGTGCATCTAGCAAAATGTCAGCCCAGATTAGTTGGAAATAATTTTATCAATAAATAGCAGAATGAAAACTTTCACTGTCTTTTAAAAAACCACCTAAAATTAGATTCTAAGTATGTTTACAAATATTTGTACAAATAGCCCAGATTTTTTTAAAAAAACAGACTTTCAATTATAAACCATTAAAAGGTAATGAGAAGGTAAATGTTTATAACAGAGATACATTTATATTCATGTTCCTACTTCTGATATTCTGATAAATGTGACTTAAAATCAATAATTTGAAATAATCAGAAATAAAACTCCTCTTTGTACTATATCATTCATCTGCCTGCCCAGTGAAATATATAACTCTTCTGCATTTCCTCTACTTATAACTTGGCAGATCAAAATATTGATTTAATGTCAATTTTAGCTCACCGGTCAGATGATTGCCAAAGCTTCCCTGCATACGAATTTCTCAAAGGCTGTCTCTTGAGATGTACATCTGATTGAGCCATGCCTTGGTAATACAGCTTGACAACATGTAAGGAGTTGCCATGTTTCCTTAGCAAACTTAATGCATTGTAGTAAAAAATAGTGTAATGTTTGCAAGATGAACTAAGATTAACTAAGAGGTTAATTAAAAAAAAAAAAGAATTCAAATGCTACTTTAGGGCAAATATTCCAAGTGGAGAATAAATGCCCTTAAAACACTTTAAAAAGGCTTTTTGGGGGAGGTGGAATGTGGTATTGCTAAGGATAGAACTCACCATGATAATCCTTGTATAATGGATTGGTTTCTCTCTCAGACCCGATAAATGATTCAAGCCCAATTACTGTATCCGACAAGTGGGTAACACGTTCCATAATTGCTTTATTCTGTAAGACATGGGAACAAAATACACAACCTAGATGATTAAAAGGCAATTAAAGTTCAAAAAACATAGACCTTTGTGAACTTCTGGGGAAGAAATGGCAAACTGAATATGAATCTGTTAAAAGTAGAGCCGACGACTGCTGCAATGAAGAGCCAGTAAGCAGACAGGTTCTTTGTAATTCCTCTCTTGACAAGGAGAGGACTTGAAATTGCCCACAAGTGCTCCAAACCAATCACTTTTGGAGACTGCTTGTTAACTGCATTTCAGCTATGAGGAACCTTTGGATTGACAAGTTTTACAGCAATGGATGAATTGTCTTCACTCCTTAGCAAAAGATGATTTTAGTTTGTTTTTATTTATTTATTTATCTAATTGATATAGCAGCCTATCCCACGAAAGGTTTTAATGCTGTAGTTGTATTTTTTAATAAAATTATTATGAAAAAAATGTAGACCTTTGTTTTTTCTGTGACAAACTGAAGCAAAATAGGCAACTAATACCGAAAGTTATTGAAAATTTGACTGATAAACTATCTGGATAAGTATACCATCCCAGTGTAGAATATTCCCAAACAATAGTTTTAATAAAATTTTGAGGTTTATTTTAAGTACTTTTTTGACACACTGATTTGGACTGGATACTTGATGTGGGTTTACAATATGGAAAGCAAAATGCCTTATCTATTTATCTGATTTGATTACAACATTGCCTAATTCCAAAGCAACATTGGGCAGCTCACAATAAACAAACAAAATGCAGTAAGATAATACAAATGCAGTAAGGAAAATAACAAACAGGAATTAATAAAATGGCAACTCTCATCAAAACATATACAACATACATAAAACACCTGTAATAAGGGGATTCCATCCACCCTTTCCCAAAGCCTGGGAAACAGACAACTCTTTAAAGTCTTCTGGAAAACTATCATAGTAGGAACTGTCTGGATCTCAGAAGAAAAACTCATTCAAGGAAGCTGCTGCTGTGACAGAAAAAGTGCTTCCTGTGTCCCAACAGATGACAGTTTGATGGGGGGGGGGAGATCTGGAGTACATACCTTTGAGCAGCATAAACCACAAGAGGCAGTTGGTCCTTCAAATAATGAGATCCCATGTCATAGGGCTCTGTAGCTGATATATTTTCTTGAATGCATATAGCATTACAATTCTGGCTTTTAAATATAGGGAAGCCCAAAATAACTATTGTAATATTTTCTTTTTTATGCATAGTAAGTAAAATAAGTCTTGCATGTCTAGTGAAACAGGTTTTGATTCCCTTAGATCCAAATACACAAATGTGTACTGTAGGTTGCAGATGGAACCTGTGATAATGTACAACCTGTGATAATACTAATTTCCTAGGGAAAAAATTGTTTCTACCAATTCTCTGCCTTCTTCAATAACTAGAAGAGAAGTATAGATACATGGCATTTCACATAATAAAATAGATCATGGATCATGGAATGATATAATCTCCAAATAATAGAATATCAATCACAAAAGCAGCTGTCTTAGTCAAAAGATTTATTCATAATATAAGGAAATGAAAGAAGAAAATAATTTAAAATGACAAACTGTATTATAAAGAAAGTTTGATAAAAATCTGGAATCTCTTAAAAAGAAGAATAATCTGCCAATTCCACCCTTAAGTCTACCATCAAATTTCTTTTATTTTAGGGGCAATTACAAGCAGCCCCAGGTTAAGAATGTATGATTTAGCAATAACATGTTCTTACAATCGGGTTACCTATTACTAAAAATGGTGGACGGCATTCTCCTTCCTTGACCCAACAATGTTTTTATGAACTATTGAAACAGCATGTTTTTAATATACAGTCTATTTTCAGCGGTTTATGAAAACATTATATGGCTTCAGCAGCTTGTCAGCGTGAAGAACACCATCTGCAACTTTTAGTAACAGGTACATTTTCAATTACAAAGATGATACAATAACAGGACTCATTTAAAAACTCAAGCTATGATGCAAGAAAAAAAACCCCAATCAAGTCCCTTATTGGTAGAAGCTGCAAAATAGAGAATACTAAACTGTTACTTGAGATCAGATTAGCTAGTAAAACAACAATATATAATATATAAAAATCCTTATTCATTGTTGTAAAATTGCTTAATAACAACTACGTTTCTCTAGCTATGTAAAGCTTTCCAAAACTTGTCAGTAAAGTTCTAAACAAGTAAATGTTAATATTACTCATTAATATATTATATGTTCACTCTCTTTTGTCTCTTTGCTGTTAATGAGTTTAGTAGATACTTTCCTATTTTTTTATTCCCAGGATTGTGGAGAGACGGTAACCAAAGCTACACTAGAGGTGTAAAATGTAGTCATTTCCCCCCTTGTAAAAAATAACAGCACAGTTGGGGTGGATATTTCTTTTTGTATTCTTTTCCCCCCCTCTCAACTTAGATTCAACTGTAAGCTGTGGAGCCCCAGGAGCAAACTCACAAGGGTGCTGCAGGATTATTTAATAAAAGGAACCTTTAGTAAATTCACTGCAGTGTCTCGGGGCACCATGGCACACAGTTTGGGGACTGCTAGGTGCACTATGAGAAAGTTTGGGAACCGCTGACTTAGATTGATATTTACATTTTAAATCTTTTTCTTAATGTAACTACTATTTAGTATGCTCACTGAAGTGAAGATGACTGTAATGCTGGGAAAATGTAGACCCTTTGATGTAGGTCAGATCAGAAAGAAGACAATGCAAGGACTACTGGAACTTAGCTTTATTTTTGAAGGGTATAATAACAGAACCTTGAAAGTTTACCTCACTTCTTTCTTATACTATGCAAAATCATGGTGAGTTTAGTCTGAGTCGCTTCCTAATGCTTACTTCTGGTTGTTCAGGGTAGGACCTAAGTATAGGTGTTAGAAACTCACTGCACCTATCTCTGTGGAAGTTACAATATAGTAACACTTAGGCCAGTGAGTCAAGGTAGCCAGATTGACAGGAATAAATCTGGTGCCAAACTTGGGACTGAAATGGCATTGGTAGCACTTTTGGATAATCTCTGGTATGGGCAGAGATTATCGCCCTACTTCATTTCCCTGTGGTTTCTATATCATCAACCATGGTATCTTTCTGGATCAGCTCAGAGGACTGTAGTAGGTGGCACAGTGTTGTGCTGGTTTGGCTCCTTTCTTTGGAGTCAATTCCAGTCAGTTATAATTGAGATGTTATGCTTTTAGACTCTAGTATATGTAGTGCTTCAGGATTCAGTGCTCTCTTCTCTCCTATTGGACATTTACATGAAGCACTGGGTGAGCTCATCAGTCGCTATAGGATGAGATATCATCAGTTTGTTGATGAAACCAACTATACATTTCTGCCCCTGGAGATTGTGAGGGCCTGGCTGGGAAACATCAAGCTTTAGCTGAACCCTGGCAAAATTGAGGATCTGATTGGGGCCTGTTGGTTCTAGAACTATGTCTTGTTTGGTCCTCCTTGACTCACATTTTCTGCTTGTAGTGGCAGATGACAGTTGTGACTAGGAGGACCTTTGCACAGCTTCATGTTATGTGCTAATTGTGTACTTTTCTGATCAGGAAACCTTGCTCATAGGCACTTATACCCTGATCACCTCCAGATTGGAGTACTATTGTAATGTGCTCTGTATGGGACTGCCACTGAAGCTTCAGTGGGTTCAGAATGCAGTGGCAAAGTCATTATGCATGTTCCCAGAAGACCACATATACCACTACTACACAAACTGCCTTAGCTGCCAGTGTGCCTCAGTATGTCAATTTAAGGTGCTGGTTTTAACCTTTAAAGCCTTCATGCATAGAACTGGGTTAGCTAAGGAACTGCCTCTCATTACATTAGTCTGTCACATTAGTTCTGCCAGAGAAGACATGTTGTGAGTACCGTCTCTCAAGGATCATATTTTGTGGGTTCCATTCTCTCTGCCATGGCAGGGAGAATGGAATATTCTCCCTCCTGAAGCCAGGTTAGCTCCATCCTTATTATTATTCCAGAAGTATCTTAAGACCAGGTATGGAGAGTCTCAGGGACCCAGAAATATTCTTAGATGGTTCTATTATGGTTAACTTTTTACTCTGTTTGATTTGTATATTTTAAATTTTTATGCTTTTTCATTTTTAATAATGATTTTTTATAATGATTGGTTTTATATCTGTTATTTTTGTTGCTTGTTTCACACCATACAGTGTCACTTCTTGTGAGATGGGTGGCTATATAAATGTGATAAATAAACAAACTTCACTGACTCTAAACATTAAATTTGACAACTATTTGAATATTTCTCCTCTATGAGATTCTCTTTTTTCAGAACTCAAATAATACATTAACTGTCTGGGATGCCTATAAGGCATACATCAGGGGGGATTTATTATTGCTTTCACTTCAGCAAAAAAAGAGAGAGAGAGATTTAGAGATTCTGATCTTAAACAGTTGGAAAAGATCGTTAAGGATTAACCATAAATTATATGCTAGAAACCTCACAGGTTAATCACATCAAACATCCAATTTAAATTCTCCACAGACATTTGAAGGGAAAGCATCAGACATCACTCATGATAAGGAATTCCACAATCTGGGAGTCTCCCATTGAAAAGGCTTGCATATGTGCGCTTGAATAGCTTCAGCCAGTTCGTCTCTGGAGAAGACAGCCTTTCATGCCGGGGTGGGATTCTACCAGTTTGGACCGGTTCGGGCGAACTGGTATTTCTGATGATCAGCTGGGAGCGAACTGGTTTGCTCCAACAATCAGATGGGCCCGCCCGCCTGCCCGCGCTATTTTCCCACCTTTCTCTTCTTAGCTGATTTGCACGACAGAGCAGATTGCCGTGCCTCAGCTGTGTTTCTCCTCCGAAGAAATGCAGAAGTGAAGATTTTTTCAAACTGCACGCAGTGTGCAAATCACCGAACTGGTTGTTAAACTAAGAGGATCCCACCACTGCTTTCGTGACCCAAATTATTTTATGTTTTTAAAATAGGAAGAGGCCATATTTTGCTTTCTGCAG